GCTTGTACTGCAGAACTTGAATTTTAATATATGAAATCTTTTTTATTTTCCTGTCTTAACATATTCATAAGATGTTCTCTATTTAAAATAATTTACAGCTTAAGGTTAACTTTACCAAGAATACTGCTCATTGTTATTAAATTTTGTTTTCGTATTTGTGTTTGAACAATGTTAACCAAATTTGAATGTAAACCAAATTAACATAACAAACAAGCGCGGAATTCAACGAGATCCAATCTCAGTGCTTTCATCCATCATAATTAACACGAAATAAAAGACACAAGAATTAAGAAACAATTGGTTGGATTGCAAGCAAAAGGAATGGGAGGAAAATGATCTATTTGACAATTTTTATTTTATTTGTCTCTTACTTCTATTGTGCAAAGCTCACAATGCCGTGACAGAGAATTCTCAAACCGCTTTCTTTTTCTTGTGGCCCAAAATTTTCAAACATTTTTAACATTACATTTTTACATCCTCATCAAAGCCACGAACCCAACCATTTTAGAAGTCAAAATGGATTTTTGACACAGTAAATTCTTCATCAAACATAACTTATATAAGTATACCCAAACTCAAAATCTAGTAAAGAATAAAGGTTGAACTATCACATTTTTATCTTTTTGTCATACTCTTGAAACCTTACGATGCACGTTGCGAAGGAGTTTATTAATAGTGTAGTGGATTTTATCTATTCATTTCTCCAAACTATGATATGGGTTTAAGTCTTAAAATATTGGCAAAAGATATAGTAAAAGTCATTGATAAACATTAACATTCATAATGCTAAAGTTGAATCCTTATAATTTAATGAGAGTGAATGGCTAAACAGTCTAAAGTGGTTTAAAAGTTGGGATATTTTTCGTTTTCCTCAGACACACGCAACACTTTCGACCTTTTTCTTCTTTGTGTTCTTTTAACAGCAAAAGATAACAAAACACAGGACTGCTAATTTTCTTTCTTTCTGTAGTTTGGCTGGTTCCTTCATGAGACTACATTTTTCTTACTCACCC